CAAATAAATACATGAAAAAATGTTCAACATCACTGGTCATTCGAGAGAAGCAAATTAAAACAGTGATTCCATCTCCAGAAAGAATGGCTATTATCAAGAAATCAACCAATAACAAATGCTAGAGGGGCTGTGAGAAAAAAGGAACCCTTCTCCATTGTTGGTGGGAGTGTAGACTGGTGCAACCACTGTGGAAATCACTGCGGAGATTCCTCAAAAAATAAAAATTAGAAGTTCCATTTGATTGGGATTTTTTTTGTTTTTTGTTTTACCAAGGCAGATGGCGGAACCACTGAACTAAATCCCTGGCCCTAGAGGTTCCATTTGACCCAGCTATTCCTCTCCTTGGTATCTTCCTGAAAGAATTAAAAGCATCCTACCACAGCACTACATGCACACGCATGTCAGGGCAGTACAGTTTGTAATAGTTAAATCTTGGAAACTGCCCAAATTCCTATGAACTGATGAATGGATAAAGAAAATGTGGGGTTTAAAAAAATACATAATGGAGTAGTACTCTGCCCTAAAGAAGGATAAGCTTGAGACATTTCTAGCTAAATGGATGGACCTTGAGACCAACACTCTTAAGTGAGATAAACTGGACACATATTTATATACTATATTGTTTCTCTGGTGTGGGAAACCAAAAGTATAAATAAGGACCAAAATGTATAATAGATATTGGGAAACAGGAAGAAAATATTCAAATGAGAAGGGAAACAAGCAGGGGAAGGTAAGGTCAAAAAAAAAAAAGAAAATGAGAAATGGAAACAAAGTTTTTCTAAATAAGGTAGGAGAGAAGGGTTGAAGGAAAGGGACAGGTATGAGGAAAAAAGCAGCAGCAAGATATATCACATACAGGTACAAACTCCCTATGATGGATGTTACCATTATGTATATATAAAATGTACCAATAAAAAAAGAGAATGGTTAAAAGAAAAGGAAATTCCTTTCACAGTAAAGAAATCCTTGCAGGAAGACTGGTTAGCTAAGGAGCTGGGGGAGGTGGCACACACCTGTAATCCATCACCTTGGAAGGGTGAGTCAGGAGGATTGAAAATTTGAGCCCAGTAATTTAGTGATTCAGTGAGACCCAGCTTTAAAAAAAAGAAAAGAAAATGTGAAGAAGTTGGGACTGGAGAGGTAGCTTAGTGCAAAGGCCCTGGGTTTAATCCCCAATACTGATGAGAGAGAGAAAGAGGGTGGGGGGGGAGAAAGAGGAGGAGGAGGAAAGAGGAGAGAGGGAGAGGGAGAAGAGGGGTGGACACAAACCAGCCAGAGTCCACTATTCCGAAGGCGTGACTGGGGCTGGAGGATGTCATTCCAAGATGGCACATTTACATGGCTGTTGGCTGCAGTCTGTAGTCCCCTGCCACACAGGCCTTCCCCGATGGCTGCTTCAGTGTCCTCACAATATAGCATCCAGCATTTCCCAGAACAAGTGACACAGGACAGAGAGCAAGGAGGAAACCCTAGGTTGTCACATATCATTTCTGCCACATTCTATTAGAGCAAGTCAGTATATTCAGTTCGCACTTACGTGGGGGAGGAGAGTAAGAAATATCAAAAAGTTTGTAGACATATTTTTGTTTGTTTGCTTGTTGTTTTGTACCGGGGATCAAACTTGGGACCTTGTGCTTGTGAGGCAGGCAGTGGCACCAGTGAGCATATTTTTGAAACACAACAAAATTTCTGGCCAATTGCTCCCTCTCCAAATATCTTTTCTCCAATCTATCCACAGTACATGAAACTCCTTTATCTTCCTAAAGCACAACTCTGATTATAACACTCTGCAACTAGGAAAGAATCAGCTCCCCACATCCTGGAGAATTCCTTAAATATATTATTTCCCTCCAGTTCATCCCACATGAACCCATCCTGTTTGCTTGTATTCCCCCTCTCCCCTCTGGAGACTTTCCATCTCCCACTGTTCCTCACTACCTCGTCCCCAGGTCTTTCCTCCAGATCTCTGTATGGATGGCTTCTCATCATCTTGAGATCTAAGTTCTCCTCCAATCTATTACGCTCTCTGTCCAAGGCATAACACTTACTCCACTACCTCGCTTTATTTTCTTTCAGCACTCACTAGTGTTTGAAAATTGTTTACCTGCCTTTTTTTTTTTGCAAAAGAAGAAACTTCTGTTTTGGTCACTGCTATAATCCAGTAGCCCCAGTTTCCAGTTCAGTGTCTCTACAATTAAGGGTCTGTTCTTTTAGGGAGTTACTTTAGAAAGGATAACGCATTGCTTATATGCCTGTTGAAAAAAGGAAGAGTGAAGATGCACCTCCTTCAGTGAACTCTCATTCAGGTCTTATCTGTTGTGAAGCGTCCTGGCAGCTACACAGGGCAAGGCAGATTTTTTTTTTTCAAGGGGTCCAGACTCTGCTAAACTTCAGCCATTTTAAGCTCCCCAGTGTCCATCCCAGAGCCTGTGGAGTAGCATTAGTAAATATTTTTCAAATGGAAGGATACTTAGATGGAGAGGGGGTGGAATAATGGATATAATTTTCTTTTCCCTGCTGATAACAGTGAACCCCCGGTTCAAATCAATCTGGAGGTTAGGAACGATTCAAATACACTGGGATAAGAAAGGCAGCAGATATAGAGGCAATAACGACCTTGGACGGCTGCCTGCCTGGCAGCCTCGCAAGCTCAAGATCCAGAGTTTGATCCCTGGTACCAAAAAAACAAAACAACAACAAAAAAAAAAACCTTGGAAAGGCCCTAAGCACTAAAAGGATGGTTTTGCCCGTTATATATAATTTAAAATAAAATAAGCATTACATGGGAAAACGGAAAAGGTGTTAGAAATTTCAGGAAGTTTTTATTTTCCTCACGATCACAACTTTGATACCCTTTCCAGAACGTTAAATCCGTTCCCACCCTACCAACTTTTTTCTCCTGAAGCTAGCTCAGATTTGGTCGTGACCTCGCGAACTACTGGGAAATCAAGTTCTATATAACGTCTACTGAACACTTACCAGTCATCAGGGATGTGATTCCATACATCATCCCATTTAACCTGTGAAGCCACCTACCCAATGAGGGAGAAAATGTATCACCTCCATTTTAAGCATAAGCAAAACGAGGCACTGGGATATGAACACAGGAAGTCTGACTTCAGTGAACAACAAACCGCCCAGGCTGCAGTTGGGAAGATTCAAACGCAGGGATTCCCAGCTTTTAGCTTCCAAAGAGGCGGAGGGACCAGGCGGGCGGGAGCAAAGCCTGCTCTTCTGAGCTCACTGTGCCTTTAAGAGTCACCCCCACCCCCGCCCCCGCCCCGGCCCAGCGCCAGGGATGCTTCAATTACGGTCCCAGGCACCCAGGGCACCGCGCTGCAGAGCCGCGCCGCAGCCCATCCTCCCTACCCCATAGTCTCGCTCTAGGGCTCAATCCTTGCAGGCCCGGAGAGGGCTGAGCCCCGCCGCTAGTGGCGCGTTCCCCGCCCCTCACTGTACCCACTATGCCCTGGGGAAATGGCATCTTTGAGACCTTTACCCGGACACCTGCCAGCTCCTATCTCTCAGGGGAAAACCTTCGCACCCCGTCCCAACCCAGGCCCCCGACGCCCGTGAAGGTGACCTCCCCCTGGGTGGCACACGCAGGTGGTACCAGAACAGGCTCACACGTGGGGAGCTGGAGCGCTCGGAGGAAGCTCCTGAGAAGGCGAAGCGAGAGCCGCGGTGGCCTAGTCCCTTGGTGCTCTCTCAAGAGCAGTGGCGCGCGAGCCTGCGATTGGAGTCACAGAGTACATGGCCTCGGGGTTTCATCTTCGGAAAGTGGGTGTTATTCCTTTTTCAGGATCCTTGTGCCTGCTCTTTTTCTCTACAGACATGAGGGTTCGTTCACTGGATCCAAAAATACTCGTTAAGACCACACGTGGCTGAACCCTGTGTAGTAGAGTTGGACTACGATAGTTTGAGTCTGTCCCTCTAAGAATCTTCAATCTTGGTTGCCCCAAACTGTCTTGGGACGCTCCAAAAGGCGCCCAAAAGAAGAGAAAGGGGCGGGAGTTCTCACCTGGCTGCAGGTGTCACTGAATAAACTAATACTGCAGAGGCCACCAGAGCGAGTGCAAGCTTTGAGAGGCAGATGGAAGCATGCTCAGGGACACCCCCCCACACTTCCTTCCAGCCCCCAGACTAAAAAAAGAAACCGATCTCATCCATCTCCCCCATCCCAGGCGCGAGACCGCCGAGCCCACAGCCTGAGCCCCGCCCAGCCTCGGCGGTCAGCGATTGGGAGATGCAAATACCGGGTTCTCTGCCCAGCAACGGGTGACGCGTCGCCGGAACGCGAGGCGTGGCCCGGCCGCAGCCCAGGCGGGCACCTGGCACCTCG